TGGTATCAGTTCATCAGCTACCTACATTTCCAAGAGTTCATTAATCACGATAATGCACAATACACATGGTAGAAGTCTAGGATATCTGTCAACAGGCTTCTTAAAGTTAAAATGCAAAGCATGTTTTGCAGAGTTGGAAAGCTGAATCTGAGCTAAACATACACATTATTTGGTTTTGCTTATATTTCAAGGACCGTTGGGCATAAAATCAATGTGCTTGCTGCCTATAACATAGAAATTTGCCACAACAAGCTCAACTCAAGCAGAACTATGATTATTTAGAAAACTTACTATCCAGATTCAATTCCCAGAAGCTTCTTATTTTTTATAGCATCTATAAAATGCAATCCTATCAATTTGCTAGGGCTAAAGCAGCCAGTCAGTTTTGTACTTACTACAAAATACAAATTACAACTTCCATAGTCATAATTTAAGCTATTGCCTCCTTTGAGTGCCTGTTTATGTTTGGATGTGTGGGTGCTGAGAGAGAGAGGGGTTCTGATAGCTGCCTGGAAACTTTTGAATCTTTCAGGCCAGCTAAATGTTGGATGGCTCCTGAAACGCCCAATGTCATGTATCATTCTAGGGCAACGATTTTCCCAGTTTGACCAACGTGAGAACAAAAGCAATCATGAACTTATACTAGGCAGATAAACATGTAAGATAGAACAGTACAATATGTTCTTAAAGTCTACAAGCATGAAAACTCACTAATAAGCTCTTTAATGCCGATAGGAATTTAAAAAGATGAAACTTCTCTTTTCCAAAAAAGTAATGACAACTAGAATGGCAAGTACTAATCTGGTAACGGTACCTAGATATGTACACTCAACTAAGCTTATCATCTTAACAGACTGACACCCTCTTAAATCTGCTTGTGATGTTTCAGCAATCAAAATAAATGAGAAATCTAAAAGTGAAATGAGCAGCTAAAGGAAATTTCTCAAGATTAAGAAACTTTTGATTGCTGGGGTAAGACTTAAGAAGACATCCTAAATTTTTACCCCAAAAGCATACAAATGAAACTTGGACTTTGGTCCATTTAGATATGCCTTTCCAAGAAATGAAGAAATCAAGCTAAATTTCAGAGTTTCCCCTTTCTTTCCTTCTTTTCCCCCTCATTTTTAACAGCAACCTTAAGAAAGTGCAGAAACAATTAAAACCACCGATAGATTTCCTCTGAAAGTTCAGAAACAATTAAAACCACCAACAGATTTCCTCTGACCCTCATGTTAAAAAATATACCAAAACAATCAACTTCCAAAATTTCTACGAATAAAGAGAAGCTTACCATCAACCTCCCAGAGACATGGCCATAGACATTTCCTTGTGGACTTTTTGGTAACGCCAGAGTACGAGCACAAGCACAATCAATGCCCAGATGAATGTTGTTGTAACCGTCATTGTCAGTCACAAAACAAAATAACAAATGACTAGGGTGTTCGCGGTGTGGTTTGGATCGGATTTTAACATTTTTTAATTCAATTCAATTTAATCGGTTAGTAAAATTTTTAAACCAATCAAATCCACTATTATATGATAATCAAACGAATCCAATTTAAATCGGATCGGTGTAGTTCGGTCAGATTGATCGGTTTTTAACACTATTAAATATATGAGATAATGTAAATAAATTTAACATTAAGTAAAAAAACATAAATATAAAATATGTTAATATCCAAATAAATAGAAACATAATTAAAAAAAGTACAAATTATAAACAAATTTTTATACTTTTTTACAATTGTAAAAATTGAAAAGATTTAAAAATTATAAACAAATTCTTAAATCTTTATCTTGATCTCCAAGAATACCCAAAAGAGGGCTACCACCAGCCTCCCAAGCTCTTTTAATTCTGAATTTGGATGGGTATTTATAAGGTTTTAGAAACCTTAATTGGAATAGAAGTAGGATTTGAAACAGAATAAGAAACTTGAATGTTGGACGCTGAACGTGTAATACTGACACCCTGAATTACGTGTCGACACAAAACAGGAGACAGAAAGTTTGATTCTAGACTATTAACCCATGGTATCGACACCCATATTATGTGTTTAAGAATAAACCTAGCAAAATGAAGACGACAACCCAGTAAAATGAAGACGACAACCTAAATGACAACCCAGTAAAATGAAGACGACAACTTTGGCAAGTGCACGCCACTAAAGAAGGTAGGGTTTTAAGAATAAAGTTGCAACTCACTTATAAATGTAGAATTGTAAGGGAATTTGAAATTTAGAATTAAAATTTAGGTATATAATTAAAAAAATAAATTAGGAAATATAAGATATGCTATTTTTATTTTTAATTAAATCAACGGAATCATTATCTTGTAAAATAAAAAAAGGAAATTTGAAATATTATAAAAATAGTATATTATGTAATTAAGTTATCTTATAATCGGATTTTTTTTTATAATCGGACGGTTTGGGCAGTTTGAAAGTAAAATTACAAACCAAACCAATTATATCGGTTTTAAATTTTTATAATCCAAACCAACCCAATTTTATATCGGTTTGATTTGGTTTTTAATCGGATTGGATCAGTTTAAGTCGGATCAATCGGATTGGATCGGATATAAACACCCCTACAAATGACTATCAAGATAACAAAGTAGATACTCATTCATCATCATCATCAAGATAAACATCTTTCAAAAGCCTCTGTACTCTATTTCTTTCCCCAAAATTTTCGACTTTTCATCACATTGAGTATCCAATTTGTATGGGGGAAGCTCCCTAATCTTCTACCAATTCTTAGAAAAGAACCACCTCCTAGTATTCTCCACCAGAAGTAGATTAGCATTGAAGAAAGCAATAATGGGACAAACAGCAAAAGAAATCGACCAAATAACAAGGAATTGAAACCATGCAAAATCCCTTGTTCACAAGAAATTCAGGGATAAGCTTTGATTTAATTAATCTCAGACATTAAGTTCTTCAGTAGTACTTCTTTTTAACACCAAATTTCTTCACTCTTTCTAACCACATAGAGATCAGAGGATAAATACAATTCTACAAAATTTCTATTCCTTCCCTTTGAAGAAATGCAAAACCAAAATGAGAATACTGAAACTGTATTGATTGTATTTTTCTGTACAAGACTTGTGTATATATATATAGCTACAGAAGCATAATTACAGGGATATATTTAGATCCTAGAATTTTG